ACAGCTGCTTCTTCTTCGGGGTTTAACGGCAGCTGTCATCCTTCTTCATGCAGTGCTGCCATCTTCTGTTTCAGTCCTTTATTGCACTCTTAAATCCTGCTACTTATTCCTGCGTCTTTTGTGATCTTACAAAGCTTCAAACGACGCGTCGACTATTAAATTAGTCGTCGACGATTTTGATAGTCGACGTAATCGTGACTAGTCGACTAATCGTGGCAACCCTACTCAGAATACTCACCAACTTACAGGGAGTGCAGAATTATTAGGCAAATGAGTATTTTGTCCACATCATCCTCTTCATGCATGTTGTCTTACTCCAAGCTGTATAGGCTCGAAAGCCTACTACCAATTAAGCATATTAGGTGATGTGCATCTCTGTAATGAGAAGGGGTGTGGTCTAATGACAACAACACCCTATATCAGGTGTGCATAATTATTAGGCAACGTCCTTTCCTTTGGCAAAATGGGTCAAAAGAAGGACTTGACAGGCTCAGAAAAGTCAAAAATAGTGAGATATCTTGCAGAGGGATGCAGCAGTCTCAAAATTGCAAAGCTTCTGAAGCGTGATCATCGAACAATCAAGCGTTTTATTCAAAATAGTCAACAGGGTCGCAAGAAGCGTGTGGAAAAACCAAGGAGCAAAATAACTGCCCATGAACTGAGAAAAGTCAAGCGTGCAGCTGCCAAGATGCCACTTGCCACCAGTTTGGCCATATTTCAGAGCTGCAACATCACTGGAGTGCCCAAAAGCACAAGGTGTGCAATACTCAGAGACATGGCCAAGGTAAGAAAGGCTGAAAGACGACCACCACTGAACAAGACACACAAGCTGAAACGTCAAGACTGGGCCAAGAAATATCTCAAGACTGGTTTTTCTAAGGTTTTATGGACTGATGAAATGAGAGTGAGTCTTGATGGGCCAGATGGATGGGCCCGTGGCTGGATTGGTAAAGGGCAGAGAGCTCCAGTCCCACTCAGACGCCAGCAAGGTGGAGGTGGAGTACTGGTTTGGGCTGGTATCATCAAAGATGAGCTTGTGGGGCCTTTTCGGGTTGAGGATGGAGTCAAGCTCAACTCCCAGTCCTACTGCCAGTTTCTGGAAGACACCTTCTTCAAGCAGTGGTACAGGAAGAAGTCTGCATCCTTCAAGAAAAACATGATTTTCATGCAGGACAATGCTCCATCACACGCGTCCAAGTACTCCACAGCGTGGCTGGCAAGAAAGGGTATAAAAGAAGAAAAACTAATGACATGGCCACCTTGTTCACCTGATCTGAACCCCATTGAGAACCTGTGGTCCATCATCAAATGTGAGATTTACAAGGAGGGAAAACAGTACACCTCTCTGAACAGTGTCTGGGAGGCTGTGGTTGCTGCTGCACGCAATGTTGATGGTGAACAGATCAAAACACTGACAGAATCCATGGATGGCAGGCTTTTGAGTGTCCTTGCAAAGAAAGGTGGCTATATTGGTCGCTGATTTGTTTTTGTTTTGTTTTTGAATGTCAGAAATGTATATTTGTGAATGTGGAGATGTTATATTGGTTTCACTGGTAAAAATAAATAATTTAAATGGGTATATATTTGTTTTTTGTTAAGTTCCCTAATAATTATGCACAGTAATAGTCACCTGCACACACAGATATCCCCCTAAAATAGCTAAAACTAAAAACAAACTAAAAACTACTTCCAAAAACATTCAGCTTTGATATTAATGAGTTTTTTGGGTTCATTGAGAACATGGTTGTTGTTCAATAATAAAATTATTCCTCAAAAATACAACTTGCCTAATAATTCTGCACTCCCTGTATATGGATGCAGCATTGAGAGTATTCTGTCCGGCTGCATGACGACCTGGTATGGCATTTCTGGTGTGGGAGCTCAGTCTCTTTGACAGCTCTTGATGCATCCATTGGTATGTGCATGATAGTTTATGCCTTAAGAACCTGTAAGAAAGTGTTTTAGAGGCATAGTATAAAAGTGTTGCATGAATAGATTGTAGTAAAAGGTCCTTATGATTTCTCAGTTTAGCTATAGACAGTAAGTACCAGTGGATTTATTTTTTGCACATTCTTTGACACAAAAACCTGGAAGATGTTCAGATAAGGAACAATTTTAATTAACAGGTGTCTGTACTGTACATATTACACATTTTCCTGACTATTATTATTATCTATCCCTCCATCCATCCAAATACTTTTTTCCATCTCTCCAATGGTGCCTTGTGGGGGCAATTCAATTCAATTTTATTTTATTTTTACAACGCCAAAGGCACCTGTTATTGTGATTTGGTGGCAGCAGCAGCCTGAGCAGAGAAGCTCAAACCTCATTCTCCCTAGGCCCCTTATCAAACGTATCCCCCGGAGCACTGAGATATATCAGGCCATCAAAGAGATACAATATCTCCATTGTACCTTAGGTTTACCCTGGGGCCTCCTCCCAGAAGGACACGTTTGGAATGCCTCACACGGGAGGTTTCCAGGAGCCGACCTAGTTGGAAGGCTGAACTACCGCAACTGTTACCTTGCGATCGTGATGTGCGATACCACTGATTTCCTTTCCGATCCGATACCAAGTAATATCCAGGGTGGTATCGACGATACTGATCCGATACCGATACTTTGTACAAAAACAGATTTTATTTATTGTATCTCAAATTATAGCATCATAATGATTACAGGACATCAGATTACTTGTTCTTATCACTTAATAATGCAGAGTTCATCATATAGAAATAAAAAACTGAAGTTGTGCTATTTGAACACCTTGCCTGCCTGCAGGACTAAAGGACTCCGTGAGAGACTCTCACCCTAGCAGCACCTGTCCCTGTCCTCCTCTTCAGTTCGCCTCAACATACGCTCGTCATATTCTGTGATATGATTTACTCTGAGGTGTTTGACGAGGTTAGTGATGTTGCCACAACCATACATGCCAACCCTCCCAATTTTTCCGGGAGAATACCACCTTTCTCCAGATTTTCCACCCAGACAACAAAGTTGAAAAACCATATCGCAGAATTCATAGCGCGGCCAGCCAATTCCAGTTTCCAACAATGGCGGCAGCGTCTTAGTTTTAATATTACTCTTATTTCTCTTTCTGGGTCGCAAAAAACCTTTTAACATATTTTCAGGTGAGAATGTAGCTGTGTAAACTTCAAATATCTGAGCCGACCGACACATCGTCTTCAAACCCCCACGGGCTTTCACCACTCGGGTTAAACATGATATATAAGTCACTTTGATAACTTAAAAATGTTATTGTTTGGCTTTTTCAGTGTTTTATTTGTTCGTGAGTAAATCGGTTTGGCTGAGATTAAAGTTATTAGATTAGATTAAATTAAATTAAACTTTATTAATCCCTCGGGAGGGTTCCTCCGGGGTTTTCACACAGCTGAATAAACGTCAAACAGAAAATGATTAAACAGAAGTGAGAGACGGTCGAGAGTTTACGTCAGCGCCCGGTTATATTTTAGAGAGCAAGGAACAGACGGCAGAGTTTCACTCCACCGAGGGAGCTCGTGACGTATACGTGACGACTTTCTTTAGACCGCGAATGCCGGGTCCTCAGGTGGAAGCAGCCTCTGAATTTGGACACCCGCGCTGTTTCCGGGCCGGCCAATAATAACCGTGACATTTAACGCATTTTACCTGATAAATAAACCCTGTACAATATATTTATCCCCCCAAACAGCCCTTTTGAATGTCTCCCTAATTCTGAGGTCTCAAGGTTGGCAAGTATAGCCACAACACCTCACTTTTTTGCCACATTTATTGCAAACCACGTCTCAGCTGTTTGTGGAGGTAAAATACATCCGCACAATTACGCTCAGCCATTGTCGTGAGTGCGCACGCCAAGGGGCTGCGAGACATTTATATAGCCGTATTTCGCACATGACTATGAAAGGCGGAAGAGGAAGTAGTTCCTTTGAATCTAGAAAATCCGAATGTTATAGTTTCTTTCCACTGTGTTCCTGTTAATGATAAACTACAAATTAACCCTAAATTACTAAAATATCGATATTTTAATGTGAGAAATGATTCTAGAACATAAATGATTGGTATCGGAGGAATCGATATTTCAGGATCGATCCGCACATCACTACCTTGCGATGTGGAGGAGCAGTGGCTCTACTCTGAGCCTGTCTTGAATGAGCCACACTGAACTATTCACTTTTCTTTCTGTTCTAGAGGAAAGCCCAGCAAAAACTTTGAGGAAAATTAATCTCCCCGACTTGTTTTTCGGTCACTATCCAATCCATCTGTCAGGATCTCTCACTCATGATCAAATGAGATACCTAAACTCCTCCACTTGGAGAAGAAACTCTTCTCTTACACGAAGTGGCTACTCCAGCCTTTTCTGGCTGACCGCTATGAACTCAGACCTGATTCTCATTCCCATTCTCTCACAATAGACTGCAAATCGCTCCAGTGTGAGCTCGATGCTCACACTACCTGATGAAACCAACAGGACCACATCATCTACAAAAAAAGGGACAGATGAGACGATGAGGCCACCAACGCGCAAGCCTTCAGTCACTTGGCTTCACCTAGAAATTCACTAAAAAGGGCACCTCACCAGAAATGAATCCCTCTTGTTGTTGGCATTTCAGACAAGCTCTTGTCACAATTGTACACGGTTGTAGCTTGTAACGGGCCCCATAGTCCTTAAGCACCACCTAAGTATACCCCAAGGGATGCTGTTGAATGCCACCCCCAAGTTTACAAAACTCATGTAGCCTGGATGGCCAAACTCCCATAAACACTTGAAAATGTGTGAGTTCAATAAAGAGCTGGTCCAGCATGAAAACCAAATTGTTCTTCCTGGATTTGAAGTGCGACTAATGGACAAACTTTCTTTTCCTTTACCCTAGCACAAACATTCCCAGGGAGGCCGAGGAGAGCCGTCTCCCTCTAGTTGGAGCACACCCTTTCAGTCCCCCTTCTTAAATATAGAAACTATCACTCAAGTCTCTCATTTCACAGGCACCACCCCAGATCGCCATGCAACATTGCAGAGGTGTGTCAACAAGACAGTTCTACCACAGCCAGAGTGTTAAGGAACTCCGGGAAAACCTCATCCAGGGGCCCAGCCATCAAACTACCTCAGTGACCTTGACCCCAGTGATGTTTGAGTTCTTCTACAGAAAATGTGTCAGTGGGATTAAGGAGGTCATCAAAGTATTCCCTCCACCATCCAGCTAGTTGAAGTCAGCAGCACTCCACCTGCACCAGAATTGCCTCAAGCCAAAAGTCTGTTTCCATGGCCTCACCAAACTCCTCCCACACCCACGCTGTGCTTTAGCAATCACCTGAGCTGTGAACAAAGTGAAATTTGATTTTCTTTGAAAATTTGATTTTCTTTTTTTGACAGAATGCAGGGGATGGTGGGACCATGTTAACTGTTGGCCCCATGCTGCAGTTGGAGATGTTGTGTCTCAGCCATGTCCTGGATTTCTACACACCACTGGTTAGTAGTAGGGCCATACAGTAGTGCATATTTTTAAACTCATAGCTTGGCTATGTTAGTCACATGATTTGATATCCCTGTGTTGCTGTAGTTTCTACATCATAATAATAATGTAAGTCTAGAATCAGTATCACAATTTACCAGTGATGCTGTCTGAGCATTCAGTTAGCATTAACCAAGAAACAAGCTAATGTTATTAAAAGCAAACATGAACAAACTAACATAAGTTTAATATAACAGCACAACCAAGTTCACAATATATTTATTATATGTATCATAAATATATTAATATATTGTATAAATTAATAAAGAAAACACTTGAAATGCTTACTATTTCTACCAGAAAAGAGTTTTCTATAAACAAGTACATTTTCCCCCACATTGCACAGTAATGGCATCACAAAGACATGATTGTTCAGTTGCAATGTTGATCCTGGACCAACACTCCTGACAACAAAGAAACAACAACACAGGGATGTTAGATACTGTAGGTCTTACCTTGATGTCCGTGGTGAGCTGGAGTGAACCTCTTGGATTGTGGTATAATTAGATTCACACACTCATTGTCTCCAGGGGGTTGAACTAGATTAACCTTTATCCTATATATTACAAAAAAAAACCTAAATTTCTGCTATTGTTTTTTATGTGTTAACAATAAAACACATTGTATGTATGTGTTCCATTTCTGTAGGGCAAGTTTTCAGGAACTGCACAGAGCTTGGCTGGACTGATCCCTACCCTCCACATGATATAGCATGCGAGTATGGCTTTAATGAAAGCCTTCCTCTAGAAGTAAGCCTCTTCCTTCTTCCTTTCATGCTGTAGCACTCAGTCACCCATCGAACTAACTGAACGGGGGGCGGTAACAAAACCTGTCTCCCCACTCGGTTATGTCCCCATGTCTGTTTCCTCCCAGTCCTTGTGTCAAGCCCGCTTCTTAGTGTGTGTCTCATGTTTCCTATTTTTTTGATAATCCCTTGTCCTGTGTTCAAAGTGTTCAGTTTTGCTTCCTCCCTTTCTCGTTGTGTCAGATTAGTTCCAGCTGTGTTTTCCTTTTGTTTCCCATCCCCTCGTTATTCTGTTTTTTTGAAAATGGAGATTTTCCGTTTTCAGTGACCGAAAACGCCGTTTACGAGGGGACAAAAGGTGCAAACGCATAGAAAAATCTGCGTGTACGTGTGAACGTAGCCTTAGTCTTCTGTCTTCCTCTGCCTCTTCTCACACTCTCCGCACATAGAAGGAACGTGCAGGAACCCTGCAGATGCAGGGTGAGGGCTGCCAGTTCAGTTTGAATTAATCCTGTTTACATGGCAGTGTTGTGGCAGTGTTGAAAGTTATGATACCAAAAATATTCTTGCCTTTCGTCCAATGAGATAAATAGATACATAGTCATGCAAAAATCTGCTGCTGCTGAACTCACTGGATATATTCATGTTTTTCCCAGGTGCACAGCTCCCAGAGGTACTTCCTGTTTGTGAGAATCATGTACTCTGTGGGTTACAGTGTTTCCCTTGTCTTCCTCATCACAGCTGTTGCTATTCTCTCCCTTCTGAGGTCAGTGATGAGAGAATTAACAAACAACAATATCTGCGTACAACACTGTCTGTTACTTTACCAACTGTGTGTGAGGCACAATTATTACAGATGTTATTAGAAAGTAGTTATTTGATTTATTATAAGACATTTACATTATAAGAGCTATTAGGCCCATGACTAACTACCCTGTAACTAAATGTAATATCATTTGAATTTACATGAATTTTAAAAAACACCTTATATTGTAAGTAATTTGTAAGTAATTTTAAAACATCCTATGTATTTTTAAGTGCGTGTTGATTACTTCATAATTTCATGGTAATTTCTGGAAAAACAAACAATACTTCCCCATCTTACACTGTAAGTATGCTGTACTGGGGTGCAGGCTGTATAACTTTGAGGTATTTTTCAGGACACAAATAGCACTGCAAGAAATTTAAGTACAGTGTAAGTAATTTAAGTACAGTGTAAGTATTTTTAACTCATAAAATGACTTATGCTATTTGTCAATGATGTAAGTATACTGATTTGTTAGCACTTTTTTTGAAAAAAGTTTTGAAAACAAGAGCATCAAGTGATTTATGGAGATCCTTAGCAGCTAACTCTGGTCTTAATTCATCATTTAAACTATGAACACAGCATCCTGGAGGTTCCTCTGCTCTCATCCCATTTGTCCAGCCAAAATCTAAAAGTCTATAGAAAAAAAAGAGAACCTGTATCTGTGGCTGATTTTTTTTTCTAACTTTCAACACCACCTGTGCCCACTTCAACCTCCTAGGACCTGGCGTCCACATATGTGGGCATCACATTTTGGGTTGTCTAGACCAAAATACTCAATTTTGCTCTACAAGGGCCTGATATCCACTTACGAGGACATTATACTACCATTGTTCCATCAAATTTTAAAACGAATGTCCTCATACGTGGCTCTCATTTTTCTTAGGAACAAAAATTGGGTAAAAAAAAAAAATCTGGTGTTTCTTTGTTTTTACATTGATCGGGTCCCAATCAGCCCAAATATCAAATGGCATGCCGTGGAAGAGTTCAGGTCTTAGGAGGTTAAAGCTTTAAATGATAAGAGCTGAACCATGAAAACAATTTTAGCATGTCTGGTATATGGACTGATTCTTATATAGTGCTTTTCTACTCTCCCAGAGCAAAGTGCTTTATACAACATGCCTCATTTACCCATTCACACAAGCACTTTTCCTATGCTTAAGTGCTTCTTATCCAACATTCACACACATTTATACTCTGATGAATGCATCTCACCTTTTATGCAACTCACTGGTAAATGCTTCAGGCAAAGGTAGATTTGTGAAGCGTTTGTAGAAAAAGAGGGAAGAGTTGGCTGAGTAGTACAGTATTCGAGTCTGCAGGCTTCAACAAACCTTTTAGCTTAGCACAATCATTACAGATCACAGTTATAGATCCAGAGGGTAGATTTATAATCCTTAAGTTATCTATACTTTACAAATGGTTAAGTACTGTAAGCATATATGGCCCAAGTGTTGATGACTGATTTTTGCCCTTTTAGTAAAACTCAATATAATTATTTTCTTAACAATAATTTTCTTTTAATAATAAAACATGTAATTAAAGGTCCAACTACAAATCGTCATTACTGTGAGTCAAACATTTGCAGCGTTGCAAAATAACACAGTGCTGCATCTGAATCTCCACTTTATCTGAAATGCCACAAATACGATGAAGAAATAAAGAAATTTTGTTGTTGGAGAAATGAATGCAACATAGGGAATTCCTCACAATATATTTTTATTACAATATATTTGATCTATGAACTGATGACTTCACTAAGAAGAAGAAATTAGCACGTTTAATCACTCTTAAATCATGAAGACTTCAGTTGTCACATTAACCGTCTGAGCTCCAAACCCTAAACTTTTGATATCTGTTGCAGAAAAGCAAAGAACGTTTGTGGAAAAATGTAAATACTCGATAAGTGTCAGTTAATAATTGTCAATAATTACTGTGTTTTTTTTTCTTTTCATTGGAGTAGAAGTAGAGCCCAAAAGGTTACAAACAAAAATGTAACTTTTTTGTTATGGTAAGGTTTACCAGTGACGATGACCTTAGAGGGTTAAATAATCTATTCTCAATACATAATTTATAATTTAACATGTATATATTATCACCACCAAATATATGCATGTATATACACATTTACATTATCTATGATATACATGTTATCAAATAACATGAACGATTATAACATTTGATCCATGTCTGTGTCCCACAATCCTCAGGAGGCTCCACTGCACACGCAACTTTATCCATGTCCAGCTCTTCCTCTCCTTCATCTTCCGAGCCGTACTCATCTTTATTAGGGATGCAGTTCTGTTCTCAAATGAAGACAGTTTTCACTGTCACATCTATACGGTACTTTCTGTTTTTGTCTTAACAAAGAGAGAGAGAGAGGGCACATGCTATGTTGTGACTTGGTAACGTGAGACGTTTAACAAGACAAGACATTAACATTTAACATGTGGGGACAGACACATTCAGATAATGCTGTGCCACTTTTTTCTTCAAGTTCTTCAATTAATGCAAGTGGGTGATACTGAAAAATGAGTTTACTACTTCACAGCATCAACTGTTGATCCTGTGATCACTGCTGTGCCTCAGGAAGTAGAGCAAGTTATCCACCAATCATGGCTTTTCCCCAGTTTTTATCTACTGTGTTTGTGTCATAGATAAAAAGTGTTTAATGTAAATAGATTATGGATTCAAGCTCTGCACCACTATAGTGACCATTTCTGAATGGTACATCGCTGAAAAGCATTTAATATGAAATTCTTGGATACAAAATGAAGAACATGACACTTTTATTTCATTTTCATGCTGACTGAGCAAATATGACGCGTTGTATGGCAAAAACAAAAATACAAGTAGATGGAACAAGATCGTGGACTTTTATAAATCAGAGAATAATTTTGTTAAATGTTTGCGTGTTTTTCAATTTCAAGACCTTCAGTCTCAGATTTTTAGAATATTTTCTGCTGCACCATCTCTGATCTGAATAAAATGTTTAAAGTTTGTTATAATGATTGTTTTTCATTTTAGAATCTTATAGTTTTTAAGATATACTTTTTAAAAGGTTTTCACACTTTCATGCTATTTTTTCTTTTCCTTTTTTTGCAAATTGAAATCTGAGGCTGAGTTTGAACATGAACATTTTGAAAACTACTAAAGATAAATGTGGGTTTTATGGAGTGATGAATCCCAAGAGATCAGGAAAGAGGCACAACAGTAAGAGTCATCTGTAAAAGATAGTGGACGCTGTGCCGTGGTTGGTTCATTTCAGACTGGGGTTGTTGGGGATCTTGTCAAAATTTAGGGAATTATGAACATAGTACTGTCAGATTTTGATCCACCATCTGTTTCCTTGTAGAAAGAGTCTGATTGGCAGCAAGTTCATATTTTAGCATGACAATGATCTCAAACACACTGCCAACACAAACACACAATGAAAAAATATCAGTCAGGGTTTAGCCTCCCCGGAGCGCAGACCTCAACATTATTGAAGTGCGATCATGTTTAGAGAGAATGGAGCAAAAGGCAGAAACATGCAAAGAAGAGCTTTGAATCTCCTTCAAGCATGTCAGTGAAGGACATTCAATGTCAGTGACCCCCCCAGTCATAAGTGAGTCATCGCAGATCAGATAGGCCGTTTCTCTCAGTCACACTCCCCCCAGATCACACTATCACTTCCCATGTTGGTGACCCTGCAGACCCCCAGCAGAACAGCGGAGTCCGTGGATTAGAGTCCTTCACACAACAAAGCCACTCTAAGAAGCCTGGGTACAGTGAACCATCATTTGGCACAGAGGAAAAAACAACATGAGGACCCACTCCCTGACTCTGAGGTGCAGGGAAGCTACCCACTTGTCCACCAGGGAAAACCCCAATATGCATGCAGCGAATCCTGAGGAGCCCACCACCTTTCACATAGGGGATCTTCAGTGGAAATAAGTCCCATCCCTCTCCAGAAACCTTGTTCCACAGCCAGAATTATGCGCTGAGATGAGCCCAGCTATATATAGTCGGTATCTCCCGACCTCACACACCAGCTCAGGCTCCTTCCCCACCAGAGAGGTGACGTTCCCTGTGCCACAGGCCAGTTTTGGAAGCTGGGCATCAGAATGCCAGGACCTCTGCCTCTGACTGCCACCCAATCCAAAGAGTATCAAACCCCTATAGACTCCTGTGGTAGTGGACCCATAGGAGAATGGACACAGAGCCTGGTCAGGCCATACGGATTAAGGCTCAGTCACCAGACCCTCACTCTGGAGCCTCTACGCCGGGCCAAGCTCCAGGGTAGGGACCTGGTGACCCTGTCCCGGGCAGGGTACACAGTGCAATAAATCAAGCCTCCAGGATTGCTCTTTGTCTGGCCCTGTCACAGCCAAGGTTTTTGGAGGAAAATATTAAGATGAATCACACTAAGATTAGCTGCACTGATCAGTTTTTCGCTGAGCTTTTTCCTCACCTACAGTGTTTAGAGCTGAGCATCGCATATTTCTGGCATGTTTCCGAAGAACAGTTGCACACTCGCCCATCTGTGTCACAAGAAAAACCTCTGACAGCAATGATTAGTGTAAGAAGGAGGAGACGAATCCTCAGGAGATGATGCAACAGCTATAACATTAGATTACACCAGCACAAGTAGATAAGTGCTGGAGGAAGAATTCAGATGCAACATATAAATAGACCACAAGTCCAAGTATTGCAGTGAAAATGTCAGCAAGCTGTACTTCTATAATCCACTGTATATAATATAATCACTATATGATTATATAATGCCAATTTAGAATCACCAGTTAAAACTAGCATGTATGTCTTTATACAACTGATTCACGTCACCTGTGGGAGATCTAACTGATAATGTAATTTGGGGAGTTACTGTTACACTGTATTATATTTTGGGTCCACGTACCACCTAGCATAATGTGTGTGGTGGATTAAAATGGGCAATATTCATCTTCTACCACAGGTCAGAACTCATAATACAACAGAACTCGTTTGTGGGTCATTTTTGGCGAGAGTCGAGTTTTTGGCAATATTTATCAGTTGTTACCAAATGTGTTAATGTTTAAAATACTGTAGAAACACTAATGTATCAGTGAATAATGTTTCAGCTGTCATCTTTTCTTTTTAAAATCTAGTTTTAGTTTAGTTTTATGTGGCCATGATAACCCTCCAAAAGTTGATTCTGTTCATCTGGACGTAGCGTTTTCACAGGTTTTCACAGGAGGCTGACGACGTCACCTGGATGATGACGAAATGTTTCTCCCACTGAAAACATCCAGATGAACAGAAACAACTTTTGGAGATTTACTCACCTGGATGATTGAGAATGCTTCAAGATGACCATGATAACGCTGAGTTACACTGTGTGCACTGTGCCAGACACCTGCTTATCTTCTCTCTGCCCTCTGCTGCCCCCTGAAGGTCAGTTGTAAATTTGCCACTGTGCTGTCTAACTACTGCATCATGGCCAACTACAGCTGGCTGCTGGCTGAGGGCTACTACCTGTACAAACTTGTCAGCGCCTCGCTGTTCTCTCAGAGGAAACACTTGTCGTGGTACATCATCCTTGGCTGGGGTATGACAGCTCAGTAGCAGTCACTGTTACTATTCTTTATTATTATTTTTCTTTGTTTCACTCTGTTTATTTGGATGTCAGTATTTTGCTGATCTATATAGTCCTCTTATTGATAATAGCAGAAGGTAAACGCTAACGTTTCTCTCGTCTTCCAGGTTCTCCAGTGATTATCATGAGTGGCTGGAGTTTTGCTAAGTACCTCCATGAAGATGAAGGGTAAGCTCAACACATATTAAACTGTATAGTACAAACAGTACACATGATCACATGTTTTTGGACATTAAAGGAATAAATGTAAAATGATTACATGCTGGGAATAAATACCTCCCTTTCTTCTGATTCCTAGGATTTCTCTTCATTTCAAATATCAAACTGTTATTTAAAATACAGGAGTTTATGGCCATATTAAGTGCTGTCATTAGCAACTTTGATAAATAAAATATTTGGTAGCACTTTCTATTACAAGTCAGTAATAAAGAGGTAATAGTAGGGTAACAAGGAGAAACAAGACTCTAATAATGTGGTAATTGTTACCACTCAGTTACCTTTGGTAGTTTCTGTGTAATAGGCAGGAAACAGAGCTGCAGAACACAAAGCTGGCTTTTTAAATTTTTAATAACAAATTAATAACCAGGTAATAATCTTTTCAATTCAGTTTCACTTCAATTTTATTTGCACAGCACCAAATCACAACAACAGTCACCTCAAGGCGCTTTATATTGTAAGGTAGACCCTACAGTAATACATACATTTGTGGGTCAGCTGCCCGCTTGCAAAATGAAAAACTTTAGGTTTTGAAAGAAAAACAATGTTAAAGCAAGCGTGATGTAACTGGTAGACCTTTGAGCAACAATGTCACAGATACAGACTGTCCTATTAGAAAAATGCACCGTCATAATTTGTGTATAAAGTAAAATCATTAATTCATCCTTTTAATTTTCTGCCCAATATAACATTTTGGAATATTTCATTTAGAAATAAACCACTACAAAGTTTACTGTGGGTGGATAGCGTATTCTGAGTACACCCTCACCAATTGTTGAAAACTGGAGTGCTCAATTTATGGGTAAATACATATATAAGTGCTAAAACAGGAATAATTTCCCTTCTTGTTACTATAACTGATTCTAAAGTACAATTTTACTAACCCAGAGGAACAACTGTAATCTTTATTTTTAGATTTTTTTCCCAAAATAGTATTTCAACTTTTTTCTCATAAGAGATTTTTGATTTTAATCTCCAAATTTTGAGTTAATTCTCAAAATGATCTTGTTTTTTTTTTTCTTAATGTGGCCCTCATACTCCATCGTACGTCTGAGACAGGATGCATCTGTATCAGCAACAGACTAAATTGGAAGATCAGAAGCTTTATACAAAAAGGGGACGAGTAGAAAAGCTGAGAACCTTCAGTGTTTGTAAAATTATGGACAATATCTATGACTAATTTATGGTCTGCATAGTGTACAGTCCTGGGAGAGCAACACTGGAGCTGCTGACATCAAGAGACTGAAAAAACGACTGTCCCTGAGTCTCATCTGTCAGATTATTGTTGTTGTTGTTGTTGTTATTGTTATTATTATTATCACCATCATCATCATCATTATTATTATTATTGTTATTTTTATTTTATTATTATTATTATTATTATTGTTGTTGTTATTATTATTATTATTATTATTATTATTATTATTATTATTGTTGTTGTTGTTGTTGTTATTGTTGTTATTATTATTATTATTATTATTATTATCACCATTATTATTATTATTATTATTATTATATATCCCTTTAAAAGCAGGATACTCAATGTTATTCTCCACAGTTAGGGATTGATTGGATTGGGTTTGGGAATGTTAAACTACCACATATAGGTTGGTGGGATCAACTGTAAATATTTTGTGTCTAGATATTTTTGGCCATATATTTAATTCAGTAGCTTGAAATCCTGACCAATTACTGTGACCAGTTACTGTCACTGACATCGTGTTTGTTTATGTTTCCTCTCTTAAGTTGCTGGGAGATGAGAAGGAGTGAATGGATCTGGTGGATTCTCAGACTTCCTGTTCTACTCTTCATTATAGTCAGTTCTTCCTTATGTTGATCTTTCTGTAAAAAAATGATTGCATGCTCTGAAAGCTTCCTTGTGATTGCTCTGGACACTAGCAGGTTGCTAAGGAAACCAGAAGTTCATGCAAACTTCTGGTGACCATAATACAAGGACCTACAATCTACTGACCAAATGGTATTGGAAGTGCAAAGAGTGCAACACAAACCAGAAATGGAGAACATTCGCCTTCACAGTACAAGTTGTATCTGTGAAATGTGTTGGTCACAAACTTCAGGTGCAATTTGTACTTTGAAGACGAGATTTCACGGTTTCTGGTTTGGATCACACTTTTTCAAGTTTCACTATAATTCCATGAAAATGGAATGGCCAGACAAGTCAGGTTCTTCCTTGTATAAGGAGAATGTTGGTGTTCTCCGGCAATCACTTGACAGCCATTCACAGAAAGTTGTGGTGGATCTTTAGTATTAAAATTTCTGTATGGCTGTAAATACTTAATCTTTTATGATAAGCATAGACACAGTTTCACTTTAAGACATTATTAAAACTGTGGGTTATGATATAATTAACTATTGGGCCAGTGATTTAATGGTTCCAGAAATGAGCGCAACAGGAAACAGTCACATCAAAAACAACAAAGCAGAGATCCAATAAAGAGTGTTTACACTGTAGCAAGGCAGCAGTTTCTAATAATTGTGTGAAAGCATCATTCATCCCAGGGAGCAGCGCCTGAAGCTGAAGCTCTGCCTGCTTTGTTTTCCAGGTGAACTTGTTGTTCTTCCTGTGTATCCTAAAAATACTGGTGGCCAAGCTAAGGACACAAGACATGCCCGGCAATGAATTCAATCACTACAGGTGAGTGACTTACTTCAGTTTTCTATTCCACAGAACTGTGAAATGGCCCCAGTCAAAGCTAACCAGCTATTATGTGAAAGAGACTCTGAAGCGCCTTGAGGCAATTGTTGTTGTGATTTGGCACTACATGAATAAAATAAAACCGAATTGAATTAAAGAAGCTGGGTGGTGCAAAACGTTGTTTCAATGAAACCTTTTACTCCAACGTTTGTTTGCTGAAGGCAAGAAATGAGATAGAGGACATACAAACTGTATGTGTGGGGTGGCTGTAGTTCAGGTGGTAGAGCAGGTCAGCCACGGTCAGTGGTTCGATCCCAGTCTGCTCCAGTCTGCATGTCAAGTATCCTTGGGCAAGATACCAACCCCATGTTGCTCTCCCATGCATCCATCAGAGTGTGAATGGTGTATGAATGTTAGATAGAGCACTTAAGAGCTTAGAAGAATGTGTGATTGGATGAATGAATTAGTTGTATAAAGCGCTTTGAGTGCTCAGACATTCTTCACTGACGTGTTGAAGGCAGAGAAGTTGCGGTGATGCATTTTATGAGTGTATAAAGATTAATCTGGCTTTTATGTGGAAGAAGTAATTGGTTTCAGCTCACCTAGCAGAAAATAAGAAAAGCCTCTTTTATTCAAAAAAATGCTCATAGTTCAGTAACATTGATTAAACAGGTCCAGTGTTCGTATCACTACTCAAATAAAAGTATGAAATATTACTCATATGTTTTAAATTTGCATTTAAACACCCATGTGATTTACTGATGTAGAAAGTAATTTGTGAATCATTACATTACCTTTACTTTGTAATAGTACCTGGGCACTTGCAGTTAACAGTGTAACACTAAACTTTTCAAATGCTCACAAATCTTTTTCTTTTTAGTACCTTAGATCTTAGTAATACCATAAAGCTTCCACCTAAGTCAGAACGCTCGGAAAACGTTATGGTGACAAGAGGAAATGTAATTACACCTAAGCCTGCTCTAGGTTGGAAAGTAGCAAATGGACTGACACTTGGAGAGAAAAGTTTGCTACAGGCATCATTCACCCATCCACACACATATTTGTACTATACTTTATTCTGTGGCTTTAAGTGTTTATTAACTATCTATGCAACTCCAGATGAACACAAAAGCAGCAGCAGCACTTTTTTTCATTAGTAACTATAATGTGATTCCTGAATTTAGTATTTGTTATAAATTTTTACATTGTAGACAAATGCAATATGATTACAGTAATGCATTACTTTGAGGGTTTATACACCACAGTAAGCTCACCATAAAAGGTGAGCTACTTCCCCACTTAGCTCTAGCTGCATGTGTATAAGATAATCATTCAGGTCCTACTTGACTATGTCGGGTTTAACCACTGTAGCAATGGAAGAAGTGTTTGAAAGACATGAGTTAGCCACTGGATTCCTTCATACTCCTGTCACAGTAATAACATTTGTGCTTTGTTGTTGTTTTTTAAAGTGGGACTAAGTGAAATAGTTGAATCTGAGCAATATGAACATGAACTTTATCCATTGGATACATCTGGGACATCATTATGTCCCGGATGATCAGATCATGTTGTTGGTGTTGGGGTGGAGGTGGAGGTGAGACTGCTTCATAACATAGTCAGATCAAGCTGCTGAGGTGAATTTGTGCAGCTGAGCAGTTACGCCCTGTGTTGCAGTTTGCAGCTAGATGTGTTATTTTATTTAAAATCGAATGCCCTGACTCACAGAACCTGGAGAAGAAAACACATGTACGTTCATCCTTAACATTCGGGATGAATCGGTGTTGTGGAGTTTCTGTGTCACTCAACCTTTTGATCAAAATTTTAAAAAATGTTAGCTTATATTCTAAAAATGGGCAAAAGGGCCGACATCTGCTTCAGTTTTGATTTGAGGTCCATTTGTGTTTAAGTTTGCTCTTTTTGATCACAGGTTTTTATTTTTTCCCAGTGGTCTGTGTATTATTATTTGTCTGATATTTTCAAAGAGGTTTGTAGACTTTCTCACTTTAATTCTAATGGTTCATACACTGTTATTCTTCAAACAACAGGAAACTTGCCAAGTCATCCTTCCTCCTGGTGTCGCTCTTTGGCTTACACTACATTCTCTTTGCTTTCCTTCCACACAAAGTCCGCGGCAGGACCTATGAAATCTGGAACTTTATTGAGCTGGCTTTTGCTTCTACTCAGGTACAGTAAAGCCAACTGTAAGCTGTTGTCTAATCACCACCTTTAATTTTCTCCTAACACAGAAGTCTATTTGTACACGGCAGGAACATTGGTGTGTATTTGAACAGTGCATTTGTTCCTGCAGTAAAGAAAGTGTTCTTTAAAGAATCATTTGCTGCATTCAGCAGCTTCATTGTATGAGAGACTAGAACAGGAAGCTTCTAAAAATATCCACATGCACTAACAGCAGCCTGTCAGTTATGTTTCTGTACGTGTTGTTTCAGGGATTTGTCGTAGCGCTTCTGTACTGTTTCCTGAACGGGGAGGTAAGGTTTATTTTTCCCTTTATACCCATGAAACATTATGTTGTCATTTCTAGATGTAAGCTTACTGTTCACATGCAAAATTACAGAAAATAAACTTTTCAAAGTCTAATTAGCAGTGTGGTGGTTGTACCATCCATCCTAGAAACAACCTGGAAATAGTCCGACTTTAAAAATGACTGAACACATTAGGTAAACAGCTGGCACAGAAACAAACATTGCATTTACATTTAATTGCAAAAGATTCCTAGAAGAAATCACTTTGATTTATTCGGTACAGACCAAATAAACAGTCGTCCAAGTTTTTCTTAATGAGCTTACACAAAGGCAGGGCAGGCCCAGATCTGTACAATAACAATATATGAGATCTTCACTATTTGTAACAAGTGTCACTTTGCCTGGAACCACTGCATGTGTGGACTGCAGGCTTCATAACATTTTTCTAAAAGCCTGCTTTTAGAAAAATATGAAATAAAAACTAAAATTGCCCAAACTGGCCATTTAATAAAGAATCACAAGGTTAAGGTTCTTTGATAGTCCTGGTCACAGTGTTAATTTTTCTCAGGCTCATACAACATCTTTCCCCATGTACACCCAGGAATTTTTACAGTTTCAATTCAACTTACTGTTGAACCTCCTGGAGTTTTGGCACTTTTACACCAATCAGTACACAAGACATTGCTGACGTGATTAGTTCTTGAAAAATCAAATGGAAAATAATAATAATAATAATAATAATAATAACAACTAGGGCTGTGTGATATGACCAAAATCTCATATCCCGATATAAGGCATTTATCGTCCCGACAATAATATATAACAACAAAAGTTTTACATTTTCTGTAAATTCTGTGAGTCTCGGGCAACTCGACTTGCGTGACGTGTTTTCAGCTCAGCGTGTGTATCTGGACTCGAGTGTTACATAAGTTGTAACGGCCTCAATTCTCTTTGTGAGTATTTATTCCACGCGTGCTGCGGGGAAAAGCCTGTTCTAAGCTTCTAAATTTGTTTGTTTTTAGCACCTGACGGCTCTTTTTAGCTTCTCTTTTGTAAACACTCTGCATTCTATGTCATGTGATTCCGTTTATTTTGAAAAATCTAAACAGGATCTTCAGCTTTATTGTGAAAGGTTTATGTGGAAATAAACAGTGGACGACAGAGCCACGCGATGGTTTTACTGTCGTTGTTGCTAACGACAACGCATAAAAACAGTCGTTTGTCCGTCCGTAGTGTGGTTATATTAAATATAAGAAAAAGAGAGAACGTCTTGAAACTCCACAGTGACCATCAAAACGATAAAATAAATATTACCTTAAACAGTTTACTTTGCAAAACAAACAATAGCGTAATTTGAAACATAGACGTTTTCATATCATCATCCGATATATGTGGTTATATCGAACAGCCCTAATAAAAACAATAATAATAATAAACCCATATAGTAATTAATATGTAATATCTGGGAAAGTAACACTTGGCTTTTAATTTTATGGCCAAGAAGTGAGGAATTGGTGCAATTTAAAAGTTTAAATCCACAGAAAATATTTCTTCTTTATCACCATTGTGACTGTGTTTAATCTTAAAATATAACTGCGAGCCAACTTTTCCCCAGTGTAGCAATAATTAATAGCAATAATTGTTCTCCAGGTGCAGAACGAGATCCAGAGGAGGTGGCGGAGGTGGAAGATGAAGCACCGCGTGCAGTTGGAGCACAGGAGGAAGTGCGGCAGCATGAGCCAGAGCGGGGGCTCTGAGCGGGGCCCCACCAACATCACTCTTCTATTTAAATCAGCCTCCACACCCGAGTCTGGTCTGGTGTAGCATGATACGAGGTTCCTCAGCGAGAGAAATACAAGATGATATCTTCTCCATTTTAGACACAAATGTGTGCAAAGAAGGCAGAGCAACAAAACTAAGTACACTTTTCCAAATGTATCTGAAATATATATACAATCCTCATACACTCACATGTTAAAATATCCAGGTAAATGCCTCTGAACGGGATGTTTGCATCATGACACAACAAATGTCTATACACACACACACACATATATATACACTCAACAAAAATATAAACGCAATACCTTTGTTACTGCTCCCATTCCCCATGGGATGGACGTAGAGACCTAAAATTCATTCCAGATACACAATATAACCATCCCTCCCAAACAGTGGTCACAAATCAGTCCAAATGTGTGGTAGTGGGCACATCTGCTATATTGAGATAATCCATCCCACCTCACAGGTGTGCCACATCAGGATGCTGATCTGACATCATGAGTAGTGCACAGGTGTACCTCAGACTGCCCACAACAAAAGGCCACCCTGGAATGTGCAGTTTTGTCTCACAGCAAAATGCCACAGATGCCACAAGCAATGAGGGAGCGTGCAATTGGCATGCTGACAGCAGGAATGTCAACCAGATCTGTCGCCCGTGCATTGAATGTTCATTTCTCAACCATAAGCCGTCTCCACAGGCGTTTCAGAGAATATGGCAGCACATCCAACCGGCCTCACAACCGCAGACCTCGTGTAACCACACCAGCCCAGGACCTCCACATCCAGCAGGTTCACCTCCAAGATCGTCTGAGACCAGCCACCCAGACAGCTGCTGGAACAATTGGTTTGCACAACCAAACAATTTCTGCACAAACTGTCAGAAACCGTCTCAGGGACGCTCAACTGCATGCCCGTCGTCCTCATCGGGGTCTTGACCTGACTCCAGCTCGTCGCTGTAACAGACTTGTGTGGGCAAATGCTCACATTCGATGGCGTCTGGCACGTTGGAGAGGTGTGCGCTTCACGGATGAATCATGGTTCACATTGTTCAGGGCAGATGGCAGCTGAGAATGTCCCAGTTCTTGCATGGCCAGCATACTCACCGGACATGTCACCCATTGAGCATGTTCGGGATGTGCTTGACCGGCGTATACGACAGCGTGTACCAGTTCCCACGAATATCCAACAACCTCGCACAGCCATTGAAGTGGAGTGGACCAACATTCCACAGGCCACAACTGACAATCTGATAGACTCCATGCGACGATGTGTTGCACTGCATGAGGCAAATGGTGGTCACACCAGATACTGACCGGTTCTGGGTCCCCAGACCCCCAATAGCGCAAAAACCTGCACATTCCAGGGTGGCCTTTTGTTGTGGGCAGTCTGAGGTACACCTGTGCACTACTCATGATGTCAGATCAGCATCCTGATGTGGCACACCTGTGAGGTGGGATGGATTATCTCAATATAGCAGATGTGCCCACTACCACACATTTGGACTGATTTGTGACCACTGTTTGGGAGGGATGGTTATATTGTGTATCTGGAATGAATTTTAGGTCTCTACGTCCATCCCATGGGGAATGGGAGCAGTAACAAAGGTGTTGCGTTTATATTTTTGTTGAGTGTGTGTATATATATATATATATATATATATATATATATATATATATATATATATATATATATATATATATATATATATATATAGTTTCCCATTCATAACTGTACAGTGTGTAAATGATGAAACAACATTATTTGGATATTGATAAGTATCTAAATAATTCTCTTCAGTGTCAGCCAGTTTCTGTTGGCTCGGTCTGACCTCTGCTAAAGCAGGACACTGAGTGGACCTCTCCTGTTTGTTGTTTGAATATTTTAATTGAATTATCTGATGAATGATAATGCTGCTGAATATGAAGTCAGTTCTGTGGTTTTAGGAAGTAGAATTCTAGTATTTTATCTTTCTTAGCACTAGTTATATATAATATGTTGCAACATGCAGGATCTTGTTAATGTTTTATGAGAACTTGCAAAATAAAATGTGAGAATGTGTAAAACATGTTGAAAAAAATTAAATGCTAATGTAACAAGTGTCACCTGGCAGTTTGTTGCTCTCTGCCAGGTGATTGGCTGAAGAGCTGTGAAAAGGTACTGGGTGTGTGGGGTGAGGTCAGCGCTCTTCTGTGGAAAAAACCCAGAGGCGATTAATTGACTCGGGTGCGAGTGGGTCTACTGTCGGTAAGAGACTTTTGCCATTTTGTTTGGATCATTTGTTATTGTAGGTGCTGATTTTTGATGTGTGTCGTTGGACTTTTTTAGTGTGACCACGAGTTTTAATGGAAGAATTGATCAAGCCCTAGATCGACTGCGCGCAGGGAGACTGATCAGTATTGTAGGTATATTGAGTGTGTTTTAGCTTTTGAATGGTTTCATAAAATTGATATTTTATTGGGTAATATTTTAATCGATAGTGTTGTTTGTGTTTTTCAGCTGCGCTGTCTCTGATGTCCTTTTTTTTTCGTTCTTTTGATTGATTTGGAATTTTGTTTGTGTTGTCCGTCCAGCTGTAAAGACGGTTATTGATTGGGAGTGAGTTGTGTAAGGGCGGACTAACCTCCTTCTTTGTTTTTTTGTTTATTTGTTTGTGCCACTTCCCTTTATATTCCAGATTACAGGTCATGCATAGCGCTGCTTCCCAGCTGTGCTGAGACCCGAATTATTTGCAGAGCGTGCCACAGGTGAATCGATTGCAGTGTCGCTAAACGGGGTGTAACGCTTTGCAGTGTTGTGTAATTTTCACACCATTTGTGTGGTAAGTCTCATGTGCAGCTGGGATATCAGCAGGATGTGTTGTAAGTCCGGTCTGGAAATAACTGGGAATTTGTATGTTTAATTAATGTAATAAATAAATTATTATTGGCTGTGGCTACAATGTAGCTGCCATCACCAGTGTGTGAATGTGTGTGTGAATGGGTGGATGACTGGATATGTAAAGCGCTTTGGGGTCCTTGGGGACTAGTAAAGCGCTATATAAATACAGGCCATGAGATGGAAAAAGATAGTGTGCACTCGCCAGGTTGGAAAGTTATTTCCCAATATCTAAGAATCTGGGATTCAATTCCATTTTATTTATATAGCGCAAAGCACAACAACAGTTGATTAAGGCGCTTTATATGGTCAGGTAAAGACCCTACAATGACACAAAGCTCACCTTAAAGAGGAAGAAACGTCCAGCAGAACCAGACTCAGGGAGGGGCAGGGCCATCTAACTGGAGCAGACTGGAGCAGGACAGATAAAGGGATGTGTCCGAGTCTGTTGTGGTGAACAGAGAGCTAATCATTAAAGTAAGTCTACATAGGTAGACTGTAGGTAGTAAAATGTTCCAGCCGTGCCCTACTGGAAGGAGACTGGGGCAGATCCATGACTAGGGATGGGTATCGTTTAGGTTTTATCCGATACCGGTGCCAAACTGGTACTTTTGAAACGGTGCCGGTGCTTAACCCTTTAGAGCCGGCCGCTCTGTTTTGCGTAACTATTTTTAAATCCCGGTAGCTCTGCAACCACGTAAGCTAGCGCAATAATTTTTTTTGCATATGAAACCGGAGGAGTTGTACTTACATCTTATGCCATCAGCTTGTCCTCGGTCACAGTTTCCTTCCACATATAGCTTTGCAAAAACTGCATAAAAAGCACTTGCAGCAACAAAAACATAATATTCCAGAAACACGCTTTGCCGATCCGATCAGCTGTTCATAACACTTCCCACGTTGGAATAGACGTCAGCGCGAACTTTTGCATGTCCGCCATTACCTGCCCGAAACCGGAAGTGACGTCATTTTCGCGGAAATGTAGTTTTTTTTACCATCAGGGCCTTATGAGCCTATACTGGTGTTTTTAAAAGTTATCTTTGACTTTATGACTTTCTGTGTCTTTTCTGGGATGCTTAGGACTCATATTGCACTGCTGGAAATAGTTTATTTTGATGCATATGCTGCTTTTTTGCAAATTTGCAGTATAATATCTATTTTAGTTTTTCCTGCAGAATATAAAAATTGGTGTATTTAAAAAATAAAACTATGAAGACACTCAAAACAAATTTCCTGTGGTAGGAAACTATTTTGTGCAACTTTTTTGTATTTACAGTTTTGAGGGATAAGCCTCTTAAATTTCTCTAACTAGAAATATATGTTAAAAAAAACATTAACGATTTTCAATTTTTTTGTAGTTTATTGCACTTTTTTGCAATTTATGGTATCCCTCTTGGCTGGAAGCAGTGCCTAAACAATGGAAAAAACACAAACTTTATCCAAAAACCTCTCATGTTTAACTGTTTTCCACTTTTTCTTTGGTCATTTTAGCCTTTTTGGCCAGGGTGAAGGGAGCATCTGCCATCAAACAAGAAGACAGCCGCATGTAGCTATGATGATGTTTGCTAGTTCACCTTACTGGATTAATGTAATAACGTGGTTAGCCTACTCAACGCGAGTTACACACGAACAACATTAAGCTACTCACGCAGAGAAGAACGGCTGCTGCTGCATCATCATCCTCATCATTTCTGCTACACTGGCAGGGCTAGGGGCCAGGACTCTCCTCTTCGGGTTCTCGGGGGATGTTGCTAACTCCGGGTCCGATAACAGGCACCACACCCGCAGTAGATGTGCTCGGTGTGAGGTCTCGCAGCAAGCTATCAAATACGGCGCATTTCTCGGCTTTTAAAAAAAACGCTATGCGTCGCCAGGTGTTTCATCGGATTTGAGGTGTTACCTCCTTTGACAGTATCACAGTATCAGCTTAAAGCACTTGTTGCTGCTGAGTTTGCATCTTTTGCTGTGAAGTACAGCCAGACTTTTGACCGCTTTGCCTTGGACATTTTTAATCTGTAGCTCTGCCCTAAAAGAACGTACGTACCTGGGCCCGCCTACTATCCTCGGAAACGTAAAATGATTGGCTAGAATCTAAAGTGTATCACAGCTCAGGAAAAAAAGCACTGAAATAAAGCACCGAAATGTGCGCTGCTTTTCGGTTTGGTTAC